CAATTTCATATGCGTTTAGTGATTTACTAAATGAAACCCAAATATAAAAATACATTTTTATATACAAGAAGAAGTGCTGTCCAGGCTCGTTCTCGTTTGGTTTATGTGTGTCTGATGTCAAATAAGTAAGATAAGATAAGATAAGATAAAACTTTATTAATCCCTCGGGTGGGTTCCTCTGGGAAATTCGGTAAGTCAGTTGATACTGGACATTTGACTGTCTTATGCCTTTTATTTAAATATTTTTTCTGTCATAAATCATGAAAGTCTCTGATTTAGGTTCAGAGAAACTGTATTTAAAGTGGAAGATAATTGCAAAGAATAAAAACGTGAGTTTAAATGAAGGAGGGCCATCTATATCTGTGTGTTTCCTGTTTTAATAAGCAGCATTTCTGCGCTGATGAGTCATTCTGTCTGTGTCCTGTTACTCTCGGCTTCGTCTGTCCCCCCAAAATCGATTAAATCTGAATATTTTTCTATGTAATAAACATGACATGTGAAATTAAATTATATTGCTTGGTGTGTTTTATTCTTAAAACAAATGTCATCCTAAATCCTGAGCCAGGGCCTTCCCCTCGCATGCCTGATTGCAGCTTTAATGCTGAACTGCAGGGAATATACGCTACATTAGGAGCTACGTTGAAGGGAAAATGATTGGAAACGGCTTCATTTAAAATCCTCTGCTGCTGCTGGTTTATGTCATACAGACCTGCGACTCTCCTCCCGGGTTTCTGATTTGAGTGTCTGGACTCTTTCATCCAGGGGAAAATCTTTCTGCTCATTGCAAACTTTGGGTTTTGCTGCTTTGACCTCCGGGGAAACGTGCCATGCTCAGACGCCTCCACTTGCTGCTGAGGAGCACACTCAAAGCCGCTCACACCATCCGGAGACTCGCTGAAGAGGTCACGGTGGTGATGGTGATGATGGTGGATGCTGTGTGAAGCGCTGCTGGTTTTCTGCATTTCCATTAAACGTGCACAGGGTCTCCTCCTCCCCCTCCTCTCCTCCCCTCCCTTTTTGACCTTGTGGCGAAGCGCTGGCAGCCAAATGTCACATGGCAGGTTTCCACAGAGGGCTTCTTGGCCTGAGACGATCCAGCAAAAAAAGAAAAAAGACGGAGACAGAATCAGGGAGGAGACTAAATGATCCATCTTATCAACTCAATAGTATGCTGACATGAATAGCAAGCCTCTCCAAGCCAGAGAGGCGACGCAGAATGAAGAGTGTGCTGGAGAAAGAAAGAAAAAAAAAACACACCAAGAGGAGGATAATCCTGTAAAATCTCTGCAGAAATTCAATTATTATCCTCTTGTTCACCCTTTGCAATTAATATGGACCTCAGTGGCCTACAAATTCCTTTTATTGTCATTTAATTATGTAAGTAGCATAAGCAATATATAAGGATTGCAGAGTATTAAAGGGGCAGCTTTATTGGAGGCAGTCTTTTGTTTGATTCAGATTCAGGGCAAGAAAAAAAAATACTAATTGACAGATATAAATAGCTAAAATATAAAACCATACATTAAATACAAATATAGCAAATAACAGTGTTTTTATTCATGCTTTCAGTGGTGCAGCGGGAAATTAAATTAGGCCTGTATGACTGCTAATAAATAGCAGCCTTTGTTCAGTTAATGGATAGCCCTGCGTTGGGCATTTTTTAAGGGGGAAAAAATTAAACGTTACATCACAGTTTGCTAAGAAAAATCCATCAATTAAACGCAAAATAAAAGAAAAGTGCTTTGTGCGCAGCGGCTGGTTTGTGCGCATCTTCTCGGGCAATTAAATTTAATTCACTTTTCTTCCAAAATTAAAGAGAATGAAATTATTAAAGGCGCAGTTTTAAGGACGAGGAGAGGGAGTGAGCAAGGGAGAGAGGGAGAATAAGACTGGAGGCATGCAGCTTTATGAACTCTGGTTGAACCGCGGCTGGAGTCGGGCTCGTAAATCATAAAGACACATAACCCAGTCCGCGGCACAACAGCTCGGCTGCCTTACCTTCACAACCTACATTCATTCCGCTGCTGAAACAATCCTGCACGCAAACAAAACACACCGGCTCCTCTCACCTTTGGAAAACCTCCCGGATTAGTGAATAATCCCAGCAGAAGCACGCGGCTCTCGTGCGTTAAGGTGCACGCGACGTGGCTTTGAGTGGTGAAGGAGTGGACAGTGTTTCTGCAGCTGCAGACCGCCCTGCGTTGCATTTCTGCACACAGGATCGGCGTGTGTGTGTGTGGATGTGTGTGTGTCTGTGTGTGCGCGTAAAAAGGAAGCCTTTCTGCTGATCGTGCAGGCTCAGTTTCATGTATGGTAATAGGCCTGCGATAAAGATAAGAAAGGGGATTTTTACGTCTTTCTATATGGCAAATTGACTTCCTCTACGTTTCTGCGGCAATTAGAGCAGAATGAAAACCCAGAAACATTAAGTTGGCTCAGCAGAGGGCAGAGGGAGCTGAAATATTTTTGGCACTGAAGTCGATTTGAAGTAGATTTAGATAAAGAAAATGGCCTGTTAGGGAGATGCTTCCCACCTCCACCACCACCACTACTGTCATGCATTAAAAACACCCAAAGGCTACCAGTTTTTAATTTCACCGCGAAGCTTTCGGGGCGCAGAGAAATCACACTTCTATGAACACACAGGCAGCCACGTCTTGTTTAAACAATCCTGGGAAGTCGTCCAGCTGCTGTAACAATAAATTCAGACATCCAGTTCAGGACCGATGCCAGAGATGCCGTAAATTACTCAGCCAAAGAAAGCTATCAGTGTTTAGTCTTTATACCAAATGCATTCTTTGCGTAATGGATCCTTTCTTCCTTAATTTAAAAGATAGATCAGAGAGGTTCATTTCAAAGCACCAAAGTGGAGACAGAACGCGGTCAGCACAGCAGCATCCATTAAAAAAAGAAAAGAAAATCTTGTAACGAGGCCTGGCTTGTGCTGGCTTTGGTTTTTGGTGACCGCTGCAGCGGATCGATTGGCGGTGCTTTGATCTCTCGTCTTCACGTTTTGCTCGATCTCTTTGATTGGCTATTGAGGGTAATATTTAACTCAGTGGCGTTAATTAATGCAAATGGGCGTCTTTGATCTTTGATGCGTGCCACAAAAATGTCTCATGGCAGCCGTGGGCCTTCTGTCCAAAAGGTCTGATTTACCTCACGCACACTGGTGCAGTTATTTTGTGCAATCACCGTTGATTAAACTGCTTCCTATATTTGGCCAGAGCGCTCTGAGAAACCAGATTTATGCTCCACGAGTCGCATTTTACTGATTGAACAAAGACTGAATTAAAATAAACGTTAAAAGTGGAATTTAGCAGACGGAGAAAAAAGCGTGACGTGTTGTGTTTGCTCCAAAACGTTAAAAACATGCAGACCTGCAGAAGAGATGACCCACCCCCACCCCCCTCACCACCACCACCACCATTTTCCACATTTTGATTGGCTCTAGTTTACCAGGAAATGTGTTGATCCATGCATGCTGAGAGTCACAGATGATTAAATGCACTTGAATGAAATATCACACTTGCCCTTCACACTATCAGCTCCATATCTTTAACCTGATTAGTTTTGGTTTATTTTGTTTAAGTTTAATTTTCGCCTGCTTCTCCAATTCAGGGTCTTGAGCCTATCCCGGCTGAAATTTTGATAATAAGTTAGTTATCAAAATTTCAGTCTTGCAAAACATTCTCTGTGCCCCACACGTAGGTTTTTTCTTTTGTTTTTTTGTGGCTTTGGTCAGCGCTGAAAGTCTGCCGAGTACCGTCTGCTTGAACAGCTGTACAGCTCTCCATGTATGCTGATGAATCCGACCAGATGTAGCTTATAGCCCTGGAAGGTTCAACTACAAGCTGCCTTTGTGCTAAGACATTCCCATCAGTCGAAGCTGCAATTTGTGTGGCACTGAATTTCTGAGATTTAGTCCTCAGCCATAACTGCTTAACAACTAGCATGCAGCTACCCTGCTTAACCCCTTTGTGCTAAAGTGCAAAGTATTACCCTCAAAGGTGCCCAAAGTAAGGTCTAACCCTAATGTGTGCCTTTGAGAAAGAAAAGATTATGTCTGTTAGAACTATCGTCTCATTATCAAACAGAATTTCAAAGACAAAAATCATTCTGATGGCATAGGAAGAAAAAAATACCGGATTATAACTGATGGTGCATTAACGTGCAAGCATTAGTTTAATGTTACACATATGGTTATAGCACAATAAAAAAAGTTTTTTATTCTGTTAATAGGATGCATTAACACAATTATTGTTATTCTGCAAAGTTATCAGAGAAACAATAGCAAATATTTGCTTTTGAAATGTAGTGAAAGTAGACAGAAATACTTGAGTAAAGCACTGCAGGTGCACACAGGTGCGCATATAAACATAAATCCTCCTGAGAGCCTATAAAAAGCGCCATAAACACACAAAGAAAAATCAGCAATAAGTGCGCTGTTTAGACAAAAACTGCCCTCTGATATATGAGACGTGGAGGCTGTGTGTGTGTGTGTGTGTGTGTGTGTGTGTGTGTGTGTGTGTGTGTGTGTGTGTGTGTGTGTGTGTTGGGGGTGGAGGTGCAGATGGACTGACCTGATAAGTCAGTTTCCACTGAATAACGCATGCACAATAAATATAAATACAAATAGGTTTGATCCTCGTGGAATGTCGTTATCACTCATGTATGACAACATCCCCGAGCTGCACTTTACGCCCATCACTCGCGATCTTCCTCATCGTCTTCTCTCTCTTCTTCTTCTTCTGTCTGGTGTTTGATGGACACACACAAACACACACCCTCCACATACCCCCACCACCTCCACCTCCAGCCGCCCTCCACTCAGTCTGCAGGCCTGCTGACAAATGCAGCGCACTGCAACCGCTCCTGTCAATTAGCTGCAGGAACCACGTGTGCGCAGAGGAGGGGATTTATTGCTCCGAATTAATTCTCTTGAATCGGCGGTGGCAGAGGCTTGATTCCCCACGCAGGCAACACGAGCGAGTCGATAACCAAACAAATACTCATAAATAACCGTGATTTAAAAATGTTGTTTGGCATCTATAAGCAGTAAACAAACAGCAGATATATATGTATAAGTGTTTGTTTGGGTAATTGTCAACAGCTGCACAGCGCAGGCTGAACAGATGTTACGCAATATATAATGTGTCTTTACGGGAGGATTTTTAAAAATAATGTGCATTAATAAAGCTCCTCCTGTCTTCGCCTTTGATTCATTTGTTGCCTTTGCTGCTTAGAAATGCTAAATATAACCGCGTTACTCCCGAAAACTTTAATCAAACTCACACTGCGAGTGCGTAAAATCCAACTTTGGTGAACTTACTTTTTTCCTTCTCCGGTGCCTCATGCTTTTCCTCAACCAGGCCGGCTTCTCCATCCAGTCAGGTCCGTTGGAAATGTTTGTTTGAGGTCCTCCTCCTCACATTTCCCCCTGGCTGCAAACTACAACTCCTCCTTGACTATACGGACAGTGGCAGTGAAAAGGAGACGTGACAAATGATGTGCGGAACAATGCCCACATTCAAGGCTCGTCCGGCAACTTTCCCAGATGTCATATTCTTTACCCTCCACCCTCCCCAACAATGAGGCGCTAAAAGGGAGGAAAGAGGAGAGAAAACAGCCAGCCAAACTGTGCAGAAGGCCTGCAGCTCTAAAGAAAAAAAAAAATCACACACACCAGCACGAAATATCAAATGTAGCGCTCATGTTGCACTGATACACAAACAAAGGAATTTTCTTGTCTTCTGGACGAATGTTTTTCTTCCCTTCTAGGTGATGTGTCATCATCTACATACTCCCCAAGATGCGAATTTGTGGCTGCTGCTGTATTTACACAAATTCGGATCTACAGGGTGGATATAGGTGACAGATCCTCCGTCTGCGGGCGTTTGGACAAAAGCCTGGAAGAATGAAGTCAGCTAATTTAAAAATCAGATCTAAACATGATCTTTTCACTTTGTGAACCGTGACACTGGATATTTCTGGACATTCAGCAATTTTTAATTAAAAAAAAACCCTTCATAAGTTATACTAAAGGCTTCATTAGTGATTAATAAATATTATTGACCTGTTTAAGTCATCAATAAGAAAAAAAAAAGCCAGATTGTGAAAAACCCCCTGGGTCTATGATGTTTATCCCTATCGCATGCTGGAAATCTATGTATGTCATGTATGTAACACGCTATTAAAGCCACATTAAATACTTCATAGATTTTAATAAGTCATTAACAAGTAATTTATCAAATGTTTCAGACATGGAGCAGCATGTTAAATGTTAATAAGTCACAAATAAAGAGGATTAATACATGCAGTCTGCAGTTTTTAATATTAGTAACTTATTAATAAAAGGTTGCAATAAAAAAAAACTACTGTACAATTAATTGCAGGTTAATTAGATAAAGATGAAAATTTGGTTAACAAGCTATTGATAAAAGGCTTCATTTATAAAATATTTAGTTATAGTAATACTGGAAGTGTTTAAACCACAAAGTCTTCAATTACAGGAAATGTAATACATGCAGTCTGCAATTATTAATGTTACTGACTTACTGATAAAGATTTAATTATCAACAAGTCATTCAGCTGACAGCCAGATATGTCATTATTATTATTTATTTGTTTTTAAAAACAACAACAACAACAACATCAACATGTTTGTAGATTTATAAAGGTCAACGCATGTTGCTGGAATTTATGCACAAAAATAAGTCTTTAGTTCAGAACTTATAAATTCATTTATAGATGAGAATAGTTTTAATATAAAGTTTGAAAATAAAGTTTATTGCTATTAATGCCAATAAGTTATTACTGCATGAAAATCTGAAGTTGTAACTGTTTATATCTCGTTGATGGGGTAGGTTAATTTCCAAGAATTGAATTATAAATGCAAATGAGAAATTAATAAGGGGTTTAATGTCTCAGCTTTCCAGTTTTAAAAAGGTTATTAGAATTTGCTGAATGCAAATACCAGCAGCTGTTATTAAGACATGAATAAGATGTTTTCAATTTTTTTTAAATAATAAAAATTGCAATAATAAGAATATTGAGACAAGTGGTATGATACAACACGTTACACACTCAACCGAGTCATTAAAAACAGATATAAAAGTTAATAAGTCATTAATATGGGCTCATAATAACCCGTTCTGAGGATATATATAAATTAGACAGAAGTTTGAGCTTTTAAATGATGAACGCTATCGTTAGAAGAAGGTTGGACATAACAACACTTTATGTTACTACATTATTAAAATACTTTTAGTTAAAAAATCTGCAGGTATACACCTTAATACGTTTTTTAAAGGAGTAAAATAACAACAATGTCATTAGTAAGGAGCATTAACCACAATACCTGCAGTTATAAGTGTTCATGTGTCATTAATAAAGGTGTTAAACCACAAAGAATGTGATTATAAATGGAAATATGCAAACACTTAGGGGTTTATTACATCAGGTATCCAGTTATAAACATAAAAAGGTTATTAAGATTCATTGAAAGCAAACACATGCAGTCATGAATGTGAATAAGTCATTGTTATGGTGTTTTGATAACCCGCTCAGATCACCAAGTGACCAAATCTGCACTTATTGATGTTTCAAAGTAACAATACTAAGTAATAAGTCATTAAAAAAGGAGGTAAATCACTAAAAAAAAGTTATTTTTAAATGTATTTGTGATTATATAAGTTAATAAGGAGTATTGACTACAGCACCTGGAGTTATAAGGGTTTCTTTACTCATTAATAAATGTGTTTAACTGCCAAAAACTATAGATGGAAATGTGCAAATAATAAAGGATTTGATGAATCAGGTCTGGAGATATAAATGTTAATGAGTTATTATTAAATGGGTTCTGATGGTAGGTCTACAGTTATACACGCTAACAAGTTGTTACTAAATGGATGTTGTGTCCGTACCATCTGCAGGGAGTTTCTAAAAAATATCCACTCAGTTCTTATAACCAGCCCGAAGAAGCTTCTACAGCCCTAACACCCAAACGTTATTATTTATGGTTTATAATAAATCTATAAGCGTAACTTAATGATTTATTAACTATTAGCTAGAAAACCACCAACTCTAAACATTTTTGTAAAACATGCCCACAGAGGTTTGAGTTTGGGCAAATGTTTTACAGCTGCAGTGACCTCATGGCTGTCTTTCTCTAATAAGAAGTAAGACTTAAACATTGTGAGCATTTGAATGCACTTCACCGTCAGAGGCTACAGATTCCTCTTTGAGAAACTCAGACACTCAAATCAGAGTAAATACCAAAAGATTACAAAAAGTCCTCCATTAGAAGTTTGAACTCACCCCTAGAAATCCTGCAAGGTCATCAGCTGGCATTAAAGCATCTTAAAATGTGTAACTACATGACACACAGCTGGCTTAGGGCAGTGTTTCCTAATTGAAGGTTATTGTGTGACCTCAGAGGGGTCATAAGATAAGCATGAGAGGCCATGGGGTTATTAACGGCAGAAAAAGAAAGAAAAAGAAGCTTTTTTTTCTTATTTTGCTGTAAAATGTAAAATAATTTAACAGGTTTGAGCTTTAAAAAGTTATTTAAACTAAAAACAAAGGAGAAGTTTCACATTAAGAAAGTAATTTTTAAAACACCTTATAAAACTTTATAAAATGTTTGGGATCTTAAATACAGATAAAAATGGTGCAGTAAAAAGGCCTCAACACCTTTGGAATAACATGGAATACAGATTAGAGCATAACACAAAGTAGAAATACTCTAGTACAAAGTACATGAAGTCAGTCTGATTATTGCCTCTCCAGATAACGTAAAGAAAAATGAACCCAACCTTTTATTATTATTATTATTTTTAAATCAAAAAGCAGCTTCACTCCCAGAGCGCGCAGGATTAAATGTGTTTCCCTCCACTCGACCTGATCAAACCGAAAGAAATAACAGATAAACAAAGCTCGTCTTTTTCTCTGTTCTTCTCTGTAACTTACACGCCCCCGATGATAAGAGCTCGAGCTGGAGGCAAAAACCCCAGAAAGAAACCTCATCCATCATCAGCCTGCTCGGTCTGAGGCGCCCTCTGCTGGCACAGCCGCCTTATTACAGAGACCTCACGGACACAAACAAACAAACGGCAGCAGCTGTGAAGTCACACACAGCCTTCCAGATGTTGAGCACCCATACAAACAAAAATGTTCAAGGTGGTTTCATGCATTTTATGATTTTGATTAAAGTCGTTCACAGTGACTGGCTGATTTTAACATTTATGTGCAAATAAATACAAACTCCTTATGTTTACGCTCTCTATTATTAGGTATACAACATTATATGTATATATATATATTTCTATTTGCTGATTTTGAAACTAAGACTTCAATATTTGTGCTAAATTCTAAATTCTGTAAATGTATACAGGAGATATATAACTCAGCGTGCATCGCCACATTTTTTAAACTCAGTTTTCTCGCAAACAAAAGCGCAAAGTGGAGCTGAATTCTGTTAATTTTACGCAGCTGCTTTGGAGTGATTGAAACCCTGATTATAAACTGTGAAAAATATGAGAAATATAAGCATTGAAGCCTCTTCTCTCCTGTGCAAAAGCACCGCGTTATTGCGCTCCTGAGCCTCGGTGGTGACAGTGCAAAGTCTTCCTCCTGACGCATCTGCGGGCTGCAGTCTCTACCGTCTCCTGACCCAGCGATGATCCCCGCCGCCATGAATTATGCATGAGATCCGGGTACAGATTACCCCTATCAATATGCAATACTCATTACGCTGGCTAAATTGCCACTTAATAGTTATGAATATGTGGAAAATGTCTGGGACCCATATAGCCCACCACTACTTTTTTACTCTTTTTTTTTCTTAAACCTGAAATGAGTTTGGAAATACTTTTGGAAATATTGCAGAAGTCTCTTGCAGTCTTTTGCTTTCCTGCACATAATATCATTATGTTTTATTAGTGGCCGCCAGACAATGCACTCCAGGACCCACATAGCCTGGCTTTTCTTTATGTAAAGTCAGTGAAGCCTGTGTCCAGCTCGGAGTTGTCCGAGACTTCACCTTTGGCCGCTCGGTGACTTGACAGATTCGGATAAATCACTCCAGGACCTCGCTCAAGTTCGTTTTTGCATGGCAGCTCTATAAAGCTTCTCATTAGCCTTCAAGAGATTTTATTTTCCCTCCTAAAAAATCAGCTTGTGTTTGAAAAAGAAACTTTGGATTACTTTCTTTTAAGTATGAAAATCGGCCAGTATGTGTCCACGCTGAGCAGAAACAGGGGCCTCTAAATGAGGATGTTCAAACAGCAAAACGTTTAGGATTTTCATGATAAAAGTGACAAATAATGTGGCTCTGTGGCTCAAACTCAGAACTAAAATTTGCGCAATTAAATCTTAATATTTAGACTGTTTTTAAAATAACATTTTAGCAGCCACACTCTTTTAATGCGTAACAGTTATTGGAAGTTTTCGCGCAGCAGCTTAAACTAACTAAACATGAGTGGACACCACTTCCTTCCCCAGTCCAGCCTTTGCAGTCCCATCCACGCAGTTAAGCCGTCACTTTCATTCAAGGTTGTGAATTATATAGTACATTGTCTACTCCCCAAAACCATAAAACCAACTTTATGGACCTCACGTGACTTTTCACAGTCTGTAAGTAATATAGGCCTATACAATCTTTGGTAAGGGGGATTTTTACCAACTTCAGCCTTGCCTATATACCTGTAAAGCCAAAGCTTTACCCCCTCTTTTTTTTTAAAGGTGGATTTTATCAGCAACATATTTTCCCACATGGCAAACATCTCGCTGCAGAGAGGTAAGTGTTTAAAAAGTCTTCTTTTTCACTGTGTCTGCGCCAAAAACAATGCGTCAAAAATTGACCCGAAATCTTGTTTGTGTGTGGGACATTTTAACAAATCCTTCAGGTTAATCATTAATAAGTTAAATGCGGGTGAAAAGCAGCCACACACACACTCACATACACACGCACGCACACAGAAAAAATTGCGCATCTCCACTTAAATATGGCCTGCCTTTTTTTAAAAAAGAAAAACCTAATCTGTTTTTATTCTAATCGATGAGACAGTCGAGACACGTTCAAAGCAATTGAGAGAAACTTTATTTTCAAGCGCTATGAGTTCACTTACAAATACAAAAAGCTTATTGGAGAAAAAAGCTTACATCACTGCCTATCCACAGAATAACCCTTTGCACTAAAAATTTATCACATTGACAGGTTGAATACATTTGCATTGCTCATAATTAGTCCTAAACAATGGTAATAATAATAATAATTATAATAATAATAATAATAACAGATGCACAAAATATCCTAGAGCTACACATTGGCTTGAAAGTTTATGGATCTTGGCCACAAGTTAACCATCAAAAATAGCAGTAAAAGTTACACTAAAGCGCTTTGAATGGCCCCCGGAATACATTACATTCAATGAAGAGCAGCATGTGGTTTGGAAACTTCTTCTTTTCTTTTCCTTTTTTTAAACGTGTGTTTTGTTTTGTTTTTACTGTACAATGAATTTACTCCTGTTAGACCGCGGAGAAGTTACAATAAAGAGCTCAAGTTGAAACACCTTCAAGAGAAAGACAGAAAGAGACAGAAAGAGAGAGGAGAGATGGACAGATAACTCCCCAGCCCTGCGATATTTACATCTTATTTTCCACATCTAAGCTACAACAACAGTGAACTAAAAATGGCATTTTAAGACCACAGAATACTTCTTTTTCTATCACAATGGCATGCTGGAAGGTGCTGCGCTTTAAATAGCTTTACAGTACTCATGGGTTCTCTTTTTTTTTTAACTTATTATGTTTTTCTTTTTTCTTTCTTTCTGTGTTTTTTTTTAACTCCACCAAAAAGTTATTCAGTTGTGGAAGGCGCTCCCTCCCGTTACGAGGCTCATGCTTTTCAGTTTATTGTCCTTCTTCCACTTCATCCTGCGGTTCTGAAACCAGATTTTGATCTGTCTTTCGGAAAGACACAGGGCGTGGGCTATCTCTATCCTCCGCCGTCTGGTTAGGTACCTATTGAAGTGAAACTCTTTCTCCAGCTCTAGCGTCTGGTAGCGGGTGTACGCAGTTCGGGCCCTTTTCCCATCAGGTCCAGTCATATCTACAATTTTACAGAAAATCCAGAAAATTAGCAACCGCACTGCACACCAACAACTACACTTTCTTTTCTGTCTTTTCTCCCTTTTTTTAATGTGGGGGGGCTTTTCACTGTGATTTAATGGACGGAGAGGGGGGGTCACACAGCATGAAATGGGTGGAAGCATGCAACCAACACGACACATAACACAACACAACAATCAGCCTTCCCTCTGCAGCTCTGGGCCAGCACAGCTCACTACACCCCACACCTCCTCCGGGCTCCAGCGGCATTTAAAGCAAACAACCCCACAAAGATTTTTTTTCTCTTACTGATTCTGCCTCTAAATTCTTCCTTCCACGCCAGCCTGCGCACTCATGCAACACCTGACAGATTTATGGCACACCGTCAGCGTGACAGCCTTCAAAACTAAATATTAAGAGAGGTGGAAATCTACCATGGCTTATGTGCAGCTTCCGCATCCACGGGAATATTTGTGGCGTTTGGCAGTCGTTTGCTGTGGGAGTGGAGGAGGTGGCGTTGGGCTCCTGGTGCTGCTGCTGCTGCTGCTGCTGCGCCCGCGGTGCCGTGCCGGAGGAGCCTCCGCCGCCTCCGCCGCCGCTGCTATGCGCGCCCTCCTCGCTCTCGGATGCGACCGTGGCGTCCTCTATCTCCGTGAAATGAGCGCTGTTGCTTTTGTTGAGGCTGCTGCCGCCCGAGGTCGCGCTCCGGTCAGAGGGAGGAGAGGGGCTTTTTAGTTCCAGCTGCTCCCGGCTGGCTGTGGCGCACGACGGCGGCGGCGGCGGCACCGGGTCTGGAGACGACAGCGAGCAGTTGGGCGTCTGTCTGTAGCGGGCGTCCGCCCCAAATCCCCGGGCATCCTCCCTCACAGCCCCGAAGTGGCCGCCGGTGTTGGTGCGGTTCACGGTTAGGTCCATGCCATTGTAGTTGTAGCCGAAAGACCCGGAGTGCATGGTGCCAGGGTCTCTGAAGGAGCCGCTCACAGCGCCGTTAGTCCCATAATTTAGTAACTGATAGTCGGAGCCATTTGGATAGCGCCCTGAGAACGAGTTTACAAAGTAAGAGCTCATTTGCTTGGATTTTTAAAGCCTCGATTTGTAGATCTTTGTCGCTATAATCCTGTGTGCTTGCACGATTTATGGATGCAATCATGAATTATAAGCAATGAAGCCCTACTGTACTTTGCCAGGTATGCGGCCAAATATGGGAGAGCGTTCGGGAATCACGTGCCTTTGTTGACCAGTCGTAAATCCTCACTGATGACTTCAAGAGGTAATTCATGCTCCATGGTTACAAATGATGACGAAATAATGGTCGTTAGGGCTCCAGTCAATGGTGCCTCCCCGCTGCGCCCCGAGAGCCGCGCAGGCAGAGAGCGCCATCTTCCGGACAGCTGCGGTAGCACCCCGCCGGGACTCGCTGTCAGGGCCCCCGGAGTCATCCATCATTTATGTAACACTAATAACGCAGGCCACAAAAGGCTCAGGTAGCACAAAACAGCGAGCTCTCAGCCAAACTCGCGCACTTTACCCAAAAGTATCCAAAAAAAGGGGGAAATTTTCACTTTTACGCCATATTATATGATTTTATTGTGGCTTAAGAAGCTGAGCAGACGCTGAGCCACTACCATTACTACTAAAACTACTAATGGCACCGCTACTGCTGATAATATTCGTACAAATAATAATAATAGACAACCAGAATTTCCAATATACATCAAAAAGCCTTTATTTCTATGTACAATTTCCTAAACAAAATATTGCACACAATATCCAGATGTGCATCGAAGACAACAATAAATAACATGTAACATCTGTACAAATTTCTTTCTTTTCTTCTTTTTTAATGGCACAAAACAAGCCTACAGACTATCACAGAGCGACCACAGCCACAGGATGTACAGTTAAAAGGACGAAAACTCCTCTTTTAATGTCAAAATAAAATCAACATTAAAACAAAGAAAGGAACTCAGTAGGCCTACACGATCATGAGGTAACAACATGAACCAAACACTAAAAATTATTTACATTTTGGCGGATTTTTTTTTATTATTATTTGATTTTATTTGTTTTTGGGTTTTTTTTATTTATTTATTTATTTTTTTTTTGCATAGTCCCCTAAATAAACGCACGAGCACACACAGGACAAACAGAGGAGGACCTGGTTTCTGATTTTTAACCTAATGCGGACACAGTCACTGTGCAGATACTGGAATAAACTCTACACGTCTCTAACATGTGATTTGGCAGCACTTTGTATCTACAAAGGAATAATACATTGTTTTTTATGTCAGGAGTGTGCACATACACACACACATGCCTTTTATTTTATTTTATTTTATTTTAAGTGTCCTTTTAGCTCTTTTTCTCCGCCTGTTCCTCCTCCTCGGGCGTCTTTGAGGGGTTGAGGAGTTTGTTCTCCTTTTTCCACTTCATCCTGCGGTTCTGAAACCAGATTTTGATCTGTCTCTCCGTCAGGCACAGGGCGTGGGAGATCTCTATCCGGCGCCTCCTGGTCAGGTAGCGGTTAAAGTGGAACTCCTTCTCCAGCTCCAGAGTCTGGTAGCGGGTGTAGGTCTGTCGGCCCCTGCGGCCGCTGCTGCCAAACGGGCCTGCAATGAAAATGAAGTCATGTGTTAATAATTAAATGTTAAGTGTGGGAGGAAAACGCACTCACTGTGTGCAGTGATGCATCCAAATTAAATAATTAAGTAAATACAAATAAACAAAATAAAACCGTTCTGCGCAAAAGTCCGAAAAAAAATCAAAATGTATGTTTTTAGTTTATATTTTCTCCTTTCTGTAGGTGCAGATTTATCTTGTTTAAAAAAAATGTTCACATATATATGTGATATTACGATAGTAGTCCCATTATATCTCTTAAACTTCCCACATGGCGCCTGTTACAGTAAGCCTTTCAGAAAAGTGTCATTAGTACAGCGCAGTCTCTGTATAATAAATGATGCACTGGCTCTCTTGTGTCATCTAAAGCACGCATTGTGCACGTGCAGTCAGAGGCAGGCTTGTTTTCTCCTTTAATTTGCAGTGAAATTCATATTTTTTTGTTCGTGTTTGGGACGTTAAATTAAGTTTTTTAGCCAAAAGGCGCGTTAAAAAATCCAAAAAGGGGCCATGTGACGCGAGCTGGGAGCTCTTGGGTTGAAGCTCGGGTGGTGTAGGCCCACTGAGTTCGTGCGTGTGCGTGCGCGCAATGTAGTGAATGTGTGTGTGTGCGCGCGGGTATGCAGCCCGTGCCTGTGTTGTGCTGATGATGTAGTAGTAGCCAAAAGCCCCGAAGGCGCACGAATCTCCGTGTGCAATCGCCAAAAACACAAACTTCCCGCTCGGCTCTGTCTCCGCGCGCTGTGCTGCTCGCAATGATCTGAAAGGCTTTCCACACCTGGCAGGTAGCCTCTTCTAACGGCCGTGAGTACTCACCGGCGGAGCAGGCGTTCATCCTCTGCATCCACGGGTAGATCAGCGTGGACGACTTGTCGTCGATGCTGCTGCTCATGCTGACAGCTTGCTCCGGGCACTCCGCTTTGCGCTGCTGATGCTCCTGAGTGACAAACAGCGGCTGGTCCTCGCGGCTCGAGAAAGCGCACGAGCCCTCCGCGTCCTTGTAGAAAGTCCCGACCGGGTTGTAGTCGCAGGGCGCTCCGCCGCCGGCCCGGCCGTAGATGGCCGCGGCCGCTGCGCCCGTCTGCTGGTAGTAAGACGCCGGGTAAACCTTCTCCTGCATGTTGGCTGCTCCATATGTGGCCGCGTTGGAGTAGTGTCTTAACGGATCGGTGTATCCCGAGGAATAAAGCGGTATCTGACCCAGGAGAGAGTCCTGTCCTCCCGGCAGAGACACGGGAAAAGTTGAGTTAACAAAATAGGAACTCATTGGGTGGACAACGGGGTGTATATACTCCGGAGGAATATGATTTGTTGTCTTTTATAGTCCAAGTGGTTTTGCCATTACTTTATCGGAGATTTGGTTTTTGCTGAAAGGGGGGGTTGTGAGGTGCCACTGAATACAGAGGGGAAGTGTACCATCTGATCAACCTCTGGCCAATCACCGCCGTCTGTGCTTGCACTATTGCACCCATGGGGGGCTCTTGTTGCGCGCAGGAGTCCCCGGTGAATCGAAATGAAGCGCTCGAGCTTGTCGCTCGCGCACACGCTCACACAGACGCGAAGACTCATAGAAATATATTTATACTTTTTTTAAAGCCTAAATATAACCCCTGTTTCATGCAATCCAGCCCCCTCTCTCCCACACTCTGTCACACACAAACACACGGTGCAAAAAAGCAAAACATTTACGCACAGCCTGAGTCTCGCTCAGCCTCTAACCTTCACTTCCATCTCCTTTAATAATTCACTAAAGCCAACAAAGTCTGGAATAAAACTCTTCTGCCAGTAAACCCTTTAAAACGAGCACCAACTGATCCACATGGACGCAAGAAACCTGCGTCAGTGATGCATATATTTCACTCTTCGAAGGTGAGACCTCATCCTGATTCAACCCTGACTGACTGAAGTCCACGAAGACGTGCAGAGAGCAGCGGGGAGGACACGCGCCGGCACTCAGGATCATCATAATCATCATCATCATCATCATCATTACGTTAACACACCATGATGAAGTGGACAACAATTTCACACTTAGAAAAAAAAACTGGTAAGTATGAAGGGTTGAAAGACGTCTCAGGTGCCTGGAGCCTGCTTTTCGTTTCTTTGTTTTCACCCATGAACTAATTTGTATTTAAGAGCAAACGAGGAGGGAAATTAAGGCGACTGTTATTAGTCTTCTGTGTTTTTCTTCTCTGTCCATCATTTAACTCGTATTGATTGATTGTTATAATTAATAAAATACAAATTTTGCTTCCATTCTGAAGCTAAGTCGCTTTTCGAAATGTAAAGTTTGCAGAATTTCGTTCAAAAAGGAAGGAAAATGCATTTATAATAAATTATTCTATTTCCTTCTGTTCAGTTAGTTTCCCTTTAAAAAAAAGCCAATAACTCTGAATAAAACCCAGAAAAAAAGCAGTTTTAAAAGTATTCTAACGTGAGTATAAAACACATAAATTGTATAAGAGCTTCATAGACGGAGGGAAAATAATAATAATCAGGAATGAATAATCCGCCTCTTGTCTTTGATTTTGCGCCCTTGGCCCACAGATTTTCTGTTTGCGTCATGTCTGCTTTGAAAACATTTTATATTTTAATATTTCGATCAGAATTGAGATGAAATCAAATCTTAATCTTTAGCTGGATTGGCGCCTCTCCGCCAGGCCGCAGTCCCTGCAGCCCGGTGCTGGACAGCTGCTGGACATTTGGAGAAACACTGACTAACAAAGAGGCAATCCCGTGTTTTCCCGTCACGTTATGGCCTCAGCCATAAACTCCCAGCATCAAAAAGGACGCAGAACACCCTGCAGAGGCGCCGGAAATAGAAAATAAATCGATAAAAGAGAAGAGCGGTGATTATTGACTCCGCGTTTTGTGCAAAATCAGGACGAGGATGCATCAGAGCGAATATTTGTTTAAAGCTACATCAAAAATTTGAGGGGGGAAAAAGCAGAAAGGCGAAAAGATACAACTAGGACACGGTGCGCAATATCAGCATAAATCGATTTCTTCAGAATAAAAGCACAAAAATGAATTACAATAATCCGAATAAATCAATCAGCAGAGTGGAAAAACGTGTAGCCGGAGATCTTTTTGTTTTTTACCCCCAAGAAAAACATGACTCAGCTGTAGCACAGGCCCTTTACCATCACCATCATCATCATCATCAAAGTCAAGCTTGCCTGGCCTGAAGCCACCTGGTTATACAACACCAGTCGCCAGCAGGCCTCAGACTCGGCAAAAGAGTCTTTTTTCACCATTTTAGGGAAAATATTTGGCGTGTGAAGGAATTGCAGCACCTCAGGGGTTAAACAGAGAGGGCAGCAACTGGTTGTGAATAGCACAAACAGCGCAGGCGGAATAATAAAATGCTTTGGAGAGGGTAATTTCCCTTTCTTAAAGACAGATCTCCCCGTTTCCAGCTTTGTAAACATCAGGCCTGCAGTGACAGTGAAGCAGCAGCAGCAGCACCAGCAGGAATATCAGAAACATGGTGCCCTTACCTTTGTTGATAATCCGTCATTTCCAGTGTGGGTGCCACTCCGCAGCAGCTCCTCTTCGCTTCCTGTCAGCCCCACAAAGAAAAAAAAATCCCCACTTTGCTTAAGTGATTTCATGAAAGT